TGTTGTAAATTAACTCTTTTGCAGATTTGTAAACTCTTTTGCAAATACGAGTTTCAATATTAATAAAGGAATCAATTCAAAACTTATATCTTTCTACCTCTTCATGTCTTCATATAGTCTAACATGATCCTAACACATTATTTGTAATTAAGTTCATCATTTGAATTCTTTAATTAAAATTGTTTGTAATTTCGTCTTTCAAGTCTTCATACTTGATAGATTTGTTTAAGTTCACTGCATAAATTTAGTAAAATTAAGAGTTAGGCAGATCCTAATGTCTTGACTGCAGTAAGCCGTAGTTAAAATTTTGAGTAAAGACTTGATAAACGTGACCACCTTGAATTAAAGAATTTCACGATAACATTGTATTGACTTTAACTTACAATTCTTCTACATGCAAACGTCTATGTTATATTTACACAATTATAATCAATGAATTGAACAAATTTGATTTATCACATTCTTAATTAGAATTGCGAATACCTAATAATATACAATTTATTCTAGATGTTAATATTTGTTATGAATATTCTATTCATTCAATAAAAAATATTTTTTGGAAATTTCAGTAAGTACTATAATGCATTTTATTAATTAATATAAAAATAGACTAAATATATTTTCTTTAATGGTGAATTAAACATTTATAGTGCTGTAGTACCAGATCACATACATCATTGTGATTTAGTTTATTTAATTATCAAGTTAATTTTACTTATAAATATATTCAACTATATTGTGATAAACAAGAAATTGATGAATTTAATAGATATTTAGCAGCAATTTCATATTTTCCTAGACTTAAACCTTTCAAATATGATCTTAGTAATATTATACATTTCACAATAGCAGAATTTCAAAATATGATGAAGTAATTAATTTTTGTTATTAACAGTTTAATTATTGTAAAACACAAGTTAAATTTATGTTAAAATCAAGCAAAATAATATGATAAACAACTTATTGATTTATTCTTATCATAGAATAAAATATATATTATTAGTCGTAAAAGATTTTTACAAATTCAGAACTTAACAGTTTTTAGGTAAATTTGTAAATTTTAAGTAAATTTGAAACTTGAATATTAAACTTTAATTTATTTATTATAGGAAATGATTACTGACTAGGCAAAAAATTTTCTTATCCTATTTGTACTAATTATAGATACTAAAATGAAGTATCTAAAATTACACAATTGGTGCTATCATGTTGTTACTTCTATATGAAAATATAGAGCAATAAATGATTTTTCAACTGAAACCTACAAATTATTGCACAAATATTATATCAAAATTCCTTACAGAATGAGCAATTGTCAGGATGTAATTTCACAAATAATCAAGACGATAAAGTTAATTTTTTGATAGAGTTATAAATTATTATAAGTTATTAATAATTTTAAATACTAATATTAGATATAACATGATAGTATTCTTAAATACTTTTAAAGAATAATATCATCTTCACCTTTTATTAACTGTCATTATTGTACTTTATTATTAAGCGAATTTGAAGATAGTTTTATATTATCTGATTTAATAAATTTGTTAATAAATATAAAACTAAACATTTTTTGGCATCTGAAACTGAAAAAGCATTTGATATATTAATTGATTTATTAAATCAATATTTTGATATGATTCAAGATATAACTGAAGATGATATTAAGACAACTATTATAAAATGGTATACTAATGCATTTATTGGAGGAAACTGATACAGCAAGAGCTAAAAGCAATTATTATAATTTACCTGCTTTTAGTAATATTATAATTAATATGAACAAAGATAAGTCTGAAATATATAATACATTTAATAAATTATGTTTTACTAAAATAAATTAAAATTTTATTATTTAATTTGTTTGTTTCTTATTATTAAAAACTAAACTAATTTTGTATAAAATAAAGCTCTTGATGTTATTTAGCCTAAAAATTTCCAGTTATTAAGAGTAAGAATTAGCACTTGTTTAATAATACGATTTCAAAAATAATAATTTAAATAGGCTGCTAAATATAATTACCTATATAAAAGAATATTTCAACATTTACCATTATAGTAACATATTCTATTATTGAACAAGTTCATATCATTTCTCAATTTGGCAAGTCTAATGAATATTTTATAAATTTATTTATGTTTTAAAATTTAAAAAAAAAGCAGAGTTATTATTTTTTTAATATTTTATATCAAAAGATTTTACAATTAAACAGAATTTTTTTTTAATAATAAAATATAAAAAATGTGAATATTCACTAAAATAAATGTTGAACAATAGTAAAATAATTAATGAGCTATTCAGTCTAATTAACAAGATGCCAAATAATGCTTAAATAATCAACAGGTTGTTCAATATTTTAATAGTAATAATCAACACATTGTTTAATACATTAAAATTTCTGTCTTTTATCAATGCATTAAATCATATTCTTTGAACTTCCTGATATTAAGAAATTGATAATGAAACAGATAAAATAAAATAAATAATAATAATTTATTAAAATATTAAAAATTTTATTAAATAAACTAATAAATTATCTAAAAATGATATAAGAATAATAAAGAAAATAATTTATATTTCTAAATTCTAAAAAAAGATATGAAAAATTTGTTTTTTTTAGATATAAAACATTTCAAATTAATATAGAAATATAAAAAAAAAGAAAAATAATAAAGATATATAAGAAATATAATAATGATCATTATTAAAAAAAAAATTTAAGCATAAATAACAATATGCAGATATAAGTTTTAATATATTATTTTGAATTATATTTTATAAAAATAAATAAAATCATTTTATTTTAATGATAATTATGAGATATAATAACTGAATTAAAACATTTAAAATAAAATTTTATAATATATGAAATAAATATAATCTATATTTTTGTATAATAATTAATTATCTTTTTAAAATTAAAATTTTATATTTATTAAATATATTAATTCTATAAGTCTATATAATCATTATTATTAATAACTTTAGGTAAATTATATGATTTTTATTTACTGGCTTGTATATATATATATTAAAATTAAAGGTTGACAAATAAATCTTTCATATTAGATAACCTTGAGACTTATCTGTAAGTATATTTTGATTATCTTCCTCAGTGGTAGCCTTTTCTTTTTCCTTTACCTTCAAAGAAGCCTCTTCTTGATCATAATTATTCTTACTATAGTGAAGGAGTGAACCAATAAGATACAATTGTCCATTATTCGTGTCAGTCCTAAATTTTTTAATACATTGAATAAAAGAAATTATTAGAGATAGTATAAAAATTTAAAAATTAATTAAAATAAATCAATTTATAACATACCCCATCACTTCAAATTCAAGCCAAGAATCTTCTCTGATAATTGCCCCAGTGTCGGAGAAGACCCATTGACCCTCAGCGTACATTCTATCTAGGTTGAGTTGTTGATCAAGAAACATTGCATCATAAAACTCATCATTATCCTTCCACAAGAATACATCAAGGGGGATAAGATGGCGAGGGACTTTGACATAGAATTGATCGTAAAGGCAAAGATGTATATGTGAAAGCGATTGGTTTGCAACTTTTCCAACTGAAATAAATGGATCAGTTAATAAATGAATATTATTGAATTTGATAGAATGTCTATAACGCTTACATAATTTGTACCCTACTGATGCATTATATACCAGAAATTCTGCACGGATGAAAAAGTGAGCATATGGTGAATCTTCGAATATAATACCGGAGTGATCACAGAATTCGATGTTATTATAAGATAGAACAAGCCCTTCAAATTGTTCTAGCTCGTGCATACAAACGCCGTTAAGAAAATTTTTAACACCCGATACAATATTTTCCAACGCGCTGGGTGGAAGATCTATAATCATGTCTGCCACAATCACCCGTAAGGGTGTTTGGGCGATATCTTTAGCTTTTTCGTTTTTAGATGGTTTGACTATGACAATATCTTTTAATTCATGCAAGTATTTATAATTAGGCTCAGTGGCATTTTTCTTATTAGGCGGATTTTCGTTATCGGCAAAAGATACCAGTTCATAAGATTTTTCGCGAGTTCTTTCAATTTGCGAGTTCGTATCCCTCGTCTTGGATCCACTCTTTTGTGAAACTGATGTAGCTTGGGTGACTTTCACAGATGAAGTAAGCAAATCCTGAGCGATAGGTGAAAAAGGAGCCTGCGTCTGGGAATTTGTAACAAGTTGTTGCCGAGTTTTTTTTTTTTTTTTAGATTTGGTTTTAGTAGGTTTCATATTGTAATAGTATATCGATTGTTATATAAGGATTCAAAATTAAATACAAGATCGGATTAGTTACGTAACGATTTTGCCGATCATTTATTTACTTAATATATAATAAAAAAATAAAAATAAAAAAAAAATTGAAAAAATGGAAGAAAAAAGTATTATTTCTCCCATTGAGCTTACTAATTTAGAAAACAACGATAATTCTGAAGTTCAGTCAGTGGACACTCCAAAAGCTAAAGCTAAAAAATCAAAATGGGAATCTGAAAGTGATCATGAAGAACCTGAAAGCGAACGAAGATTTAGTAAGAAAAGACGTAATGTTAAAAAATTTCAAAAATCAGTTGATTCGGAAATAGATGAACAATATTCTCAGCCAGAGACCAACGAAAATGTTAAAAGATTAAAAGTATCAAATGAAGATTCTTTTAATCAATCTCCTTCAACAAAATCAATATCACCTATAACTGAACCTCTTAATGATATGAGCATTAGCTCCACGTCTTCTCCTGCACCTGAATCGACACCACAATCATTTGTGGAAAAAATTATAAAACCTGCGCCAGCTCCACCACCTCCAATGCTTGCTGGATGTCGTAGTGTTGATAATTATGAAAAATTAAATAGGATTGAGGAAGGTGCTTATGGAGTAGTTTTTCGTGCTAGAGATAAAACTACAGGTGAGGTTGTGGCTTTAAAAAAACTCAAATTAGATAAAGAAAAAAATGGATTTCCCATCACATCTTTACGTGAAGTTCATACATTACTTTTGGCCAAGCATCCAAATATTGTAAACGTGAGGGAAATTGTGGTTGGTGAAACGTTGACACAGTACGTTAAATATTTGCTTTGTATTTACTGTATCTCCAATCGTTTTGTTTATCTATTTCGTTCATATCCTCTTTTATGATTAAAGGATTTTTATAGTAATGGATTTCATAGAACATGATCTTAAAAGTCTTATGGAGGATATGCAAGTTCCTTTTTTACAATCAGAAGTCAAAACAATAATGCTTCAACTTTTATCGGCTGTTGCGATGTTGCACGATAATTGGATCATTCATCGTGATTTGAAGACTTCTAATCTTTTGCTTAATAATCGAGGTCAAATAAAAGTAGCAGACTTCGGTTTGGCTAGAAAGTATGGTAGTCCATTAGGTCCAATGACTGAACTTGTCGTTACTCTCTGGTATCGGTGGGTTTATGATTTATTTAAAAGTGTATATATATATATATATATATATATATTTTTACCGATCAAAAATATGGTTATTTGTTTAGAGCTCCTGAGTTGTTATTGGGCACAAAGAAATATTCTACAGCCGTAGACATGTGGTCTGTTGGTTGTATATTTGGAGAATTGGTAAATAAAGAACCATTGCTGCCAGGACGGACCGAGATCGACCAATTAACCAAGGTGATTGATTAGTTTGATTGAAAATGAGATCATGGTTTATAGTTATTAATAATTAATTCAATTACTTAAATTTTTTTCATAGGTTTTTAAATTATTGGGTATGCCCAATGAAAAAATATGGTCTGGGTTTTCAAAGTTACCTCATGCCAAAAATATTCCCTTTATAAAGCAACCGTAAGTTTAATAAATTATAGAGTAATCTCATTAATCTCAAAGATTTATATTGCTTTAATCATTTTATTCCCTAGACACAATACGTTACGTAGTCGATTTCCATACTTGACGGAGAATGGTTTTGATTTAATGGCGAAACTGCTGACTTATGATCCATCAAAAAGAATAACTGCTGAAGAGGCTTTAAAACATCCGTATTTCACGTACGTTGAAGATACTAAAACTTTTGGTGTATATATTTAATTGACTAATATAACGAATTTGATATGGTTGTTTAGAGAAAGTCCCTTACCAAAAGATCCTGAAATGTTTCCAACTTGGCCATCAAAGGGCGGTGGTGAGAGGTAAATTAATAATAAGAAGCAAATATTTTTTTAAAAATAAAATAAAAAAGACATATGCTTATTTCAATTCTTGTAATTATTGCTAGACGTAAATCTTATACAAGCCCATCAGCTCCTAACGTTGCACACGGTGTTGAAAAATTAGATGAAGAAGATCAAACGTTATTAGGATCTATCTTTGAGAATCAAGGAGGAAATGATTATGGTTTTAGGCTCAAGATTTAAGAAATCAGACAAAGCCATTATCTTATTATTTTGTATTTCATAGTAACATATACTGTATACACATATACACTTATACTGTACATATAGATATTATAAGAATAAAATTAATAAAAAAAAAATTAACCACTACAGTGGCAGGATTTAAATTACGATTATTTTTATTAATTTACTTTGACAAGATTCTAATTTATATGTTTAATATTTACACTTTTCCTCTATCAAAAATATTATTTCAACGTTTTTTGCCAATCAAAAAGCATAATTAATCGGGATAAGCATTTAGCATAATGATGGACAAGTTTTGGATATAGAAAAATGTATTTAAACTTATTCATATTGTCAAGTTACCTAACACTAGGGAATTCAAATATCATTTCAAAGTTTTTTAAAAAAAAATACGAGAATCGAAATCAAGTTTCATTTCGATTGATTTGTCTTTTTTTCATTTTTCAATTTATTTTTTGATCGGTAAGTATTCCTTTAATTGTAAATTTTTTTTTGATTTTCGATAACGATAATGATTTTAGAATATTCAAATACTAATTATATAATTTCGAATATTTATTTATTTGCAAACAAATATTTTTAAACGAATTTTGAATAAAAATTTCTATCTTCACTATATATAACAATTTTAAAACTGAAGCATAAAAAAGTTTGACATTAGTAATAATATTTGTAAACAGTCAGAACTTTGATTTAACGATCCTCCCCGGTTTATTATAAAAATTTTATCGTTTTATAAATTTGATATAACGATTTTTTTATATAGAACATAAAATTTTAAAAAAATCGTTTAAACGAGAATTTTATTAGATGATTAAATTAATTATAATGCAAAATTTTTATATATCAATCTAAATTTAATTATATACTTACTAGTCGATAGCCCGTTGCAAGCAACGGGAGTTAATTGCTATTAGATGATTACTCCAGAATAATCTATCTATATATAATAAGGAAAAATAAATTCTACTTTTCATAAATCTTCTGCTTTCGTTTATCGAAATAAATAGTGTAACATCGCAAAACGACCGGCTCTGGTAAGTAGATGCCGACTTTATTTAATGTTTGGCCTTGTGCTTTATTAATTGTCATAGAGAATGCTGGACGGACCGGAAATTGACGTCGTTTCAAAATAAATGGTAAATTAGTATCAGAGGGAGTCAATATGCGGGGTATGAAAACACACTTTCCGATGTGAGATCCTGTGATAATCTCCGCATCAATTACTTTGCTTTGAAGGCTACGGCAAATTAACCTTGTTCCATTACAAAGACCTTCTGAGGGATTAGATTTCGCAAAAGTATAATAGGCATTCCCAACTTCAACTTCAATTCACCAGAAGGAAGTCCATTAATCCTTAAAGATCTCAAAAATTCAGGTGAATATATCTGAGGTTGTCCTATAGAATCTACTACCGGGGGGGGGACAAAAATATTGCACGGCTTAAAAATAAAAATTTAAATAAATTTTTTATAAGTTATTAGCCAT